GAGAGAGAGAGAGAGAGAGAGAGAGAGAGAGAGAGAGAGAGAGAGAGAGAGAGAGAGAGAGAGAGAGAGAGAGAGCAAGAGAGAGAGAGACAGATCCAGGCTCGTGCAGTTGGAGGAGGCATCTCCCTAACACGCTTTTCGCGGCTGCGTCACATGGTCAGCTCATCTGAGGGAACCTGCCAAAAACAAGACAATACACCCCACCTACATGCAGCAGTAGATATAGAAAGAGAAGCAGTAGTACCGTGTCCATGACGGCGTCAAACCCCACTCCCCTGCCATGACTTCAACGTCAAACAGCAACTCAATCCTCCATGGCGCTGAGATGGAAAAGGTGTCGATCTCCGGATCCTCTGCTGTGTTGCCTTTGCCTGGCACCATACGAGTCTCAGATGCATGAGGAGAGCTAGTTGTGATATCGAGTAACATAGCGCCATTAGAGTGGCGTCTACTACTCATGGCCCTCGTTCGCCAGGTTTTTGGCAGTTCCTGCTAGTTGTATTGTTCCAAGTCCCGTATAGAGTCCCTATTGTGTCTTTTTTGGACTCGGGGTGTGAACTGCTACGAGCTGAATTGGCCAGAATGCTCCCATGCCCCCGCAAAATTTGCCATTTCCATCAATCAGAGCCCCTGTGTGAACTGCTGTGCTCTGGAGCGGCCAAAAAAAAACCATTACCAGGCCCGAATGGCCGTGCCACTTACTAGTAGCTCCACCAACGGACCCCGTCCACACTGCTGTATCCTCCAAACCAGCCGCATTAGCCCGATACCAAGCCAGATTTGCCAAGCCCCCCAGTTGCCGCCAACTCCATTACACCCTTTCTAAGTTTCCAGTGTCCCTCTTCAGCGATGGAAGCTTAATTTTTCTCAAGTGTGGCCCATGGACCCCTTTTTTCCCCTCAAGTGTGGCCGATGGACCCCCCTATTTTTTCTTGAGTGTGGCCGATGGACCCCCCTATTTTTTCTTGAGTGCATACAAAGACCGGGGGGGTGAAGAAAAAATAGAAGAGAAATTGCGCGGAAAAATCTTGATGGAAAAAGAAGGAAAGAAAAGAGAAGTAGAAGGGGGGGAAAACAAAACAAAAAACGGGGAAGATGGAAGAATGATGACTCTGTGTGTGTGTGTGTGTGTGTGTGTGTGTGTGTGTGTGTGTGTGTGTTGTCATATTCGCTATACACAACAAAAGCATGCCTGTGTCAGACTCCTTTGTTGGACTTTCACCTACTCCTCGGGGGGGTGTCCTGTGTGTGGGTGGGTGGTGTGTGTGTGTGCGTGTGTGGGTGGTGTGTGTGTGTGTGTGGGTRGGKGGTGTGTGTGGGTGGGTGGGTGGTGTGTGTGTGTGTGTGTGTATGAGAGAATGAGACACCACTAGCGGTTAATGGAAGGCCAAAAATTCATGGTTTTTCGCCACGTCGCTACAAGCAATGTTGTCGAAACTTTTGCGAACAAACTATGCAGGGTCATAATACAAACATCAAAAAACCATACAGGCAAAAAAAAAAAAAAAAAAACACAAACTCAGGAGCACTATAAAACCCTATTCGGAGTAGCTTTCGGAGTTCGCCAAATCTTTCTTCGAGTCCGGTGTTTTTGCCAACTTTTTCGTTACTGGTCCAAATGCGGCAAAATTGAATACAGATATTCCCTAAAGCACATACACATCAGGTAAGAAGAAAAACCAAGAAAAAAGTAAAAATTCAGGAAAATATGCCAGTTTCGGTGAAAATTTCGCCAAAATTTGCCAAAATTTGGGCCTTCAATTAACCACTTCTCTCTCTCTCTCTCTCTCTAGAGACTACTTCATTGGACTTTCACCGACTCATGAGGAGGTTGTGTGTGTGTGTGTGAATGTGTGTGTGTGTGTGTGTGTGTGTGTGTGTGTGTGTG